CGGCGCACATCCCGGTGCCCGCGCAGAGGTGAGCCGAGGGCCGTGGCGGCGCGCGCGTTGGCACCAGGGGGGCGTGCGCACACGTGCTCCGGGGCGTGCAAGGCGGTGGGTGGGGCGCGGGCCTGTGCCTTCCCGACGGTCCCTGAGGGCTTCGGTGGGGCGCAGGTCAGGGGCATAAACTGGGCTTCTGGGGCCCTCCACCTCTCCAGCGCTGGGTGGAGTTGAGCGGAAAAGATCACCGGACCGGGTCCCTTGTCCCCCCCTGTCCCCGGGGACCAGAGTGCAGAGTTGGTGTGTAGGGGTGGGTGTCAGTCTCAATGTGCAGGAGGCGTTGCGCGGGGCCTGGGCCGACTGTCCAGGAATCGTGGGCTACTGATCACCGCCTCCCGGCCTAGTCCTGGACCCTTCTGCACTTCGGCCCGGCGAGCTGACTGTGGCCGGCTGGGCTCTGGTCCGCTGGGGCCCGGATCCCGCCGGTGCTTGGAGGCCGGCCTCCCTCTGGCCGCTGCGACTGCTGGCTGCCCCGCCCTCCTGGCCTGGCGCTGTGCCCGCAGCGGCGGTTGCACAACTCTGGTTAATGTGTGATGGGGGGCTGGGCCCGGCCTGACCCCGCCCCACCTGGGGCCTCAGACCCCTGCCCAGAACCAGGGCCTGAGGAGCCACCTGGATCAGAGCCCAGGCTTCGGAAGACCCCAGCGCCTGCCCTGCTCTTGGCTATCCGTGGTGGCTGGTGGCTCTGTAACCGGAGCAGGGGTGGAGCTGGGCCTCCAGCCCAGCTGCCGGGAGTGAGGGAGCCTGGGGCGCACACACGTGCCCAGGCCTGCACGTGTGTGCGCCGGCCAGGGGAGGGGCCTGGAGCACCTGCTGGGCACCCAACTGCGCCCTGCCACCCCTCTTCTTCAGAGTCCCTCCAGGAAGAGCGCGACTGGATGAGGTCATGGCTGCAGCGGCCCTTACAAGCCTGTCCACCAGCCCCCTCCTGCTGGGGACCCCGGCTGCAGCGTTCAGCTCAGGTGAGACTCAAGTCGTGGTCGGGGTGGGGGTGGGGCAAGCCTCAAGACCGCTGTCCCCCCAGGACCCTGAAGCATTGCCCCTGCGTGGGAAGCAGGGCCCCAGCATCTGGGCCGCCACCTTCCAAACGCAGCTCTTGGGCCCTCTTCTAAAACAGACACCAGAACGCCCAGCTCTTCACAGAGCCCCAGGCCCACGAGCCCCTGGGACGTACCCACTCTGCCTGGCTGGCTGCTCTCCGACCACGTGTTTCCCGAATGGGCCAGGCACCCCTATCCCCTCCCTGCGGCTCTGCCCACCAAGCTCAAGTGGACAGAGGAAGGCTGGAGGCTCCAAGGGTTAGGGGACTGGCGGAGAGCCCGCAGGAGCCCTGAGCCGGCTGTCCATGCAGAGCCCGGCTTGGAGCCCTGGAAGGAGGCCCTGGGCCGGCCGCTGGGCAGCTACAGCAGCAGCAGCAACAGTGGAGACTGGGACCTGGCCAGCGACCCGTCCTCCCCGTCCACACCGTCACCCCCACTGCCCCCTGAGGCAGCCCACTTCCTGTTCGGGGAGCCGGCCCAGAGGAAGAGGAAGGTGAATTTCGGGGCGGCGGCCAGGGTGGGGGTACGCAGGAGCCGGGCCTGACTGCCGGCCCCTGTGCCCCCAGAACTCGGCCCAGGTCATGTTCCAGTGTCTGTGGAAGAGCTGCGGGAAGGTGCTGAGCTCCGCCTCCGGGATGCAGAGACACATCCGCGTGGTGCACCTGGGGTGCGGCCCGGCAGGGCAGCGAGGGGCGGGGTCAGGGCAGCGAGAGGCGGGGCGTGGAGAGGGGCCAGGGCAGGGAGGGGCGGGCCACCTCGCTTCAGCTCCCTCACGTGTTCCAGACGCCAGGCCGAGACGGAGCAGAGCGATGGGGAGGAGGACTTCTACTACACAGAGCTGGACATTGGCGTGGACGCGCTGACCGATGGGCTGTCCAGCCTCACCCCAGTGTCCCCCACGGCCTCCGTGCCGCCCGCCTTCCCGCGCCTGGAGCTGCCGGAGCCCTCGGCCGTCCCGGGTCTGCTGCAGCCCCTAACCCTGCCCTCGCCCCCAATGCTGAGCTCCGTCGTCCCCCGACCGGTGTGCCACATCCACAGTGACCATGCCTACCAGGTGCGTGAGACCGGGATGAGCTGCTGGGGTGGGTCCCGTGGGTGCTCGCTCTGCAGGGGAGTGAGGCCAGGGCTGTGTCTCCCCCCCAGGGCTGCCTGGCACCCATCCACCTGGAGCCGCAGCCCACCACAGTCAGGGCCTGCTTCACGCCGGCCCTGCCTTCCAAGCTTGCTGCCAACCCCAGGTACGTGTGTGTCCAGGGGTCGGGCAGGGGCCAAGTGGGGAGGTCCCCAGCCCTACAGCGCCCTGTCCCCTCCCTGGTGCCTCCCAGGAAGCCCCGTGGTGATGCCAAGAAATGCCGGAAGGTGTACGGCATGGACCGCCGGGAGCTGTGGTGCACGGCATGCCGCTGGAAGAAGGCCTGCCAGCGCTTCCTGGACTGAGCCTCCCCCCAGTCCCGGGGCTTCTTAAAGGAGAAAATAAGCTACCCCCCACAACCCACACACACACACACCAGGGCTGCACAGCCTGGGAGAGGACAGACCTGGACTCCCAGCGGCAGGTCTATTTCCTAACGGGGGGAGTTGGTGACCCCGGGCCCCCAGAGGTGGGGGGGGGTCCCGACCACTCAAAGTGCCTCTGAAGAAACCAGCCTTTTGCACTAAAGTCAAACCACACGCCGTCCCCTCGCTGCAGGGTTCCCATGGCGGCCACCCTGCCTGTGAGCCCCAGACCTGCCAGGATGCTGATGGGGCCTCAGGCCATGCCATGCCAGCCCTCGATGCACTTTCAGGGTGCCCGGGGAGGGACCACCCCACTTACTGCGAGGGTCCGAGCGCCCTGGGGTGGCGTTCGTACTGCGTCCCCAAGCTCAGGTGTCTCCGTCTGGGCCGCACCAGGCGAAGAGGAAAATTAAAGATTTGGGGTTTTTCCATAATCTGTGTCTGCCTCCTGGTGGGAAGGAAGGGCACTGGGCCCCGTGGGGGTGGGGTGGTGGGCACCACAGGGGCTGGCACGAACCACCAGGGACTAGGTGTCTCCCTTGTCCCCTGCTGAGCCTTCCTGGGTCCCCTCACTCAAATCGACCCCAGGGACCTGTCAGGCTGTGACACACACACAGGCGTCTCTTTGAGCAGCAATTTCCCGATTTATTGAAACTGGTCGCTTTTGCAAGAATGTCTAAGCTAATCCCGTCACAGAAAGGAAACCCACAGGCAGGCCAGAGCACACCTAGGCAGACAAGAAACCATGAGACCCACTACCAGGGAGGTAACGTTTACCTGTCCTGTGGTTACAGAGAAGCAGGACAAGTTGTGTTCCCCAGCTGGTTATGAAAGATCTCCCCCAAATATTAAACACATCTCCAATACAAACACAGGTTTATAATAATTAATATAAAGTCGATATAATATAGATTATTCCCAGAAAAAAATCAACAATCTTCAAACACTGCCCTTTTTTTTTTTTTTTTCTGTCTTTTGTTTTTGTTGACAGGTTGAAAGCATGTTGAAAAAATAAATATTTAGGAAAAGCATGAACAGCACCCTCACTACAAGTTGCTCTAAACCAAAGGGCCAGATACAAAACACAATTTAGGATCTAAACCACCAAGTATGGCTTTTGTAAGAGTTGCACATGTCACAGAATGAGCTAAAATAAGATTCTCATAATATTGCAGAAAATTCCAGTTTTTGCATTTTCTCAGTTTTCTTTTTTAAAAGGGAAGATGTGCAAAATCGGGAGCATTAAGCTGTGTCTTTTGAGCTGAGGTCCCTATCGAATCATGGCAGTGTTCTGACTGTTTCCCAAACCCAGAGTCCAAATACACAATCTGGTCAGGATCCAGAGCTTAATACAAAAACCGTAGGTCCCCCGGTAGCTCGCAACCCCGGGGACTGCGGGTCCCACTTTGGTGTTGCAAGCACCAAAATACAAACAGACATAAACTAAAAAATACAAAATGTGAAATGTAATCTACACATTTTCCTCTTCATAAAAAAATATTTATTAGTTTAAACATTGATTGAAAAAAAAAAAAAAGATCAGTCACATAAAAAAAAAAAAAAACCCTTCATTTCGTGTCTTTTTCTCCTGACGCCTCCCGAGAGACACGTCCATCCGGGTCTCGGAAACGCCACACTTCCTGTCAGAACCTGCAATTGAAGAGAACACCTGGGGGAGCTGGTGGGAGGGGCCTGGACCCTCGTTCTTCTGGTACAGTATTGGTGTTAAAGAAGAAGAACCCCTGTGGCACCAACATCAGACCCCAAAAAGGCAGGGAGGGCAGTCCAGAGGGGGCAGCGGTCAGAGAGCAAGACGTCCTGAGTGTTGGGGGCAAGATGCCCTTTGCAGGAGGTGGGCTGGCCGTGGGGCCGGGTAGGTCAAGGTGGGGACTGGATCCCAGACGGAGCCAGGAGACACTTGTGGGTACAAAGGTCTAGTTGCCAAATGCATTTTGTAAGAAAGTAAGTCTGTCTAGAAAACAGATTAAAAAAGAGACATGGGGGCAAGGTACACAGTTCCGAGAGCAGGGTGAGGCTGAGCCCTCCACTGGTAAGTGGGGGCTCTTGCCCCGGATCCCCGGGGGGCGGCCCAAGACAGCAGGCAGCGACCGTGGTTAGGAAAATCCTGGCCACCTTCTCACTAAGGACTCCGGCTCCTCAGAGCTCACCGCGTCCCGCAGAGTGCTGTCTATGCAGGCAATTCCGGCTCCGCATACAGCACCCTCTCCTAGTTGACAGGAACGGTCGCTGATTTTATTTCAAAAAAAAAAAAAAGAAGCTTGTGGTTTCTCCCCTGTGGGCAGGCCCGGAGGCCGGGGCTCGTGTGTGCGACAGGGGAGACTCTCCCACTGGAACACAAGGTTGGGGGTTTTGGGGGCTTCTTTTTCCATATATAAATAGCTGTAATGAAATAAAAAAAGGTTTGTAAAGTCTGTGGAAAATGAAAACAATGTAATTCCAAATGGGTACTACTGCTCAGCACCCCAAGAAGTCCCTGCTCAGGTAGGCCCCCAAGGGGCACAAGGTGTCAGCCCCACTTCCAGCGCCTTCCCCAAAACCACAGCTGCTGGCAGCAGTGGGGGGCTTTGTTGGTGGCCAGGTGAGGAGACGGTGAGTGTCCCCATAAACCATGTGTGGACGTGAGGGAGGCGTAACACATGTCCGAGGGTCTGTCCTGCCCGGGCAGTCTGTCCAGCAGCCCACCCCCCAGGTGCTCATGGCAGGTGGGCCGCCAGTGTGTGGTGCACAGGAAGAGGCCTTTGCTTTTTGCTCAGAAAACTGAAAAAAAAAAAAAAAAAAAAAAAAAAACGGGGAAAAGACCATCCTGGGGATGAACCATTAGCTCAATGAAAAAATACAAGGGGGCTGGGCAGCAAGCTGGCGGGAAAACAACTCTGCGTGTGTCAAGTGAGGACACAGTGCCGACGGAACGACCTCCTGATGTTGGGACTTGGCCATTTGGTGACCCACGTGGGGGAGTGAGCCGCAGACGGCTTCACTGTAGCAGCAACAAGGCAGGAGCAGGTGCCTGGTCTCACCCACAGCCGTCAGCAGGAGCGGGCACCACTGACGGCCGGGAGCACGGCCAGGGAGGCAGAGCCGCGAGGGACGAGGCCAACGGGCTCTCCATGGAAGTGCACGCAGGAAAGGGGACTGGGCCTCCAAGGGGCTGCCGCATGGGCCTGGAGGGGTGTGGAGGCCAGGGTCCCCACGCGGCGGCCTCTCCGGATGGACGATAGCACCGAGCAGCAGCCCCGAGGGTTTCTGTTGAGCACCAAAGCCCAGAGGCAGGAGGGTCTCAGGCTGCCCTACACCAGGACCCTCCCTGGAGTTGAGCTGCTGAGGAGGACGAGGAGGTGGCGGTGGCGGCGGCGGTGGCTGGCGGCGGCGGCAGTGGCGGGCTGGACACTCTGCTCTCAGCTGTGCAAAACTCTCCCTCAAAACCTACCTCCGTCCTTGGCCTCAGGCCAGCCATGGCCACAGGGCTCCCTGTGATCTGGCCCAGGCTCCCTGATTTCATAAAACCCGACACTAAAGCAGAAGGGCCCTGGCCAGCTCGCTCCCCCAGTGTGCACTGCTGGGAACTCTGTCTATCCCCACCAGAGGATGCACAGACGGTCGGGCAGAAAACAGACGGATGGGGCGGGTGCAAGGCCCTGGAGGGGGCTCACATTCCCTTTTTCTCAAAGCATCCTGTGCCACCACCCCGCCCCACCCCACAGTAGCCCTGGGCCTGTCTTCTGAGTGGCCGGCTCCCGTCTGCATGTGTGTCTGGGGGTGGGCGAGCAGGTGGGTTGCAGGAGGGCTGGGAGAGGGCCGCCCCCTGGTGCTGCTCCGGGCTGGGGGCCCGCGGGCACACGATGAGGCGGTCGCCGTGCCCCCACCATCCAGCCTAGGAGACCCAGGCCAAGTCCTCATCAGGCTCCCCCGAGGGGCTGCGGGGCCCCGGCGGCGAGTCCTCGTCCTCCTTGTCGTCCCCAAGCAGTGCGTCCTCAGGGGCCAGGCCCCCGTCCTCATCCAGCTCTTCCTCGCCCTCCCCGCGGGGGTCATCGGGGTCCTCCAGATAGGGCCCGTCACCTGGGAACAGTGCTTCCGGGGAGCCCTCCCCCCCGCCACCGTGGTCCAGGGGTCCGGCCACGCCACGGCCCACACAGTCGGCACACACACCATGGCGTCGAGAACCGTGCTTGATGCCCACGCTGGCCGCTGACATGAACACACGGTTGCACACCTTGCACACGTACTTCTTGTCTTTGCTGTGCACCTGCAGAGACAGAGAGGGGTGGTCAGTGCAGAGGGCAGGGGGTGGGGTCCCTTCAGGGATGGGCGGTCCTCACTGGGAGAGAGGCCTCTGTAGGGGGATGGGGTCCCTTCAGGGATGGGAGGTCCTCACTGGGAGAGAGGCCTCTATAGGGGGATGGGGGCCCTGCAGGGGTGGGAAGACCAAGCAGGGTCCGAGCGCTCCTCCTGACCTCCGCAGACCACCCTGAGTGGAAGCAGGATTACTGTAAAGTCACAAAACTCTAAACCATGAAGACAGCAACTCGGATGTAAACAGCCCAACAAATTTCCCAGTGTCACCCGGGAGGGGACAGGTCGGGTGTGGGAACCAAGATGCAGTCTTTGAGCCAGCGAGTAGCCCGTGGGGCTGAGGCCCCAGCCTGCCCAGGGGCTGCCCCAAAGCTTCCTTGAAAGCGAGACAGACCTAATTCTAGAAACTCACACCTGCCTTTGAGGAGATGCTGCTAGATGTTAGAACCCAAGGCTTTCCCTCCCCTCAGCAGAAGGAAAAAAATTCAAGGCCAATCACAGCCAGAACCGTGTTCGAACGGAAGGGTCTTGGCAACCAGCCGGCACCATCAGGTTTACGGTGGTGACACCGAGCCCGGCAGCCTCCCTTGGTCGGGGGCTCACAAAGAGGGGGATCGGCTGTGTGGGGAGCGGTGGTGGGGGCTGCTCCAGAACACCTAGGCATCAGGAGGGCCTCTCAGGCATCTCGTGGCTGGGACCAGATGGCTGGGCATGCGTCCGAACGGACAAACTCTGGGAGGAGCGAGCGGGAAGGATGCCGGTGCCATGACAACCAGTGGAGCCACCCTGGATGGCCTCAGGAGCGTGGGCCAGGGCCACCACCACTGCAGCGGCCTCTGGCCTTGGAGAGCCGCAGGGCCCGCTGCTGCCAGGGACACCCCGCCCACGACAGGAGACGTCAGTGGAGAAAAGCACAGGCCCTTCCTCGTGAATTCTGAACACAGCTTTCAGGGATGAGCCCAGGTCAGAAGTCTGTGCCAGGTGAGCAAGTACTGGGACAATGCCGGCCTCCCGGGATCAGACACAGACTGAGCTCAGGGGGACCACCTGTGCCGTCGACAGGTGACAGTAAACAGAATGTGGTCCTCGCATGCAATGGGGTACTGCTCAGCGGCGGAGAGAAGTGAGGTCCAGACACAGGTGCAACAGATGAGCATCGTGCTGAGCGGAGAAGCCAGACAGAAAGGCTGCACCGTGATCCCACTTACATGCGACATCTGGAACAGGCGAACGCAGACAGACCCGCGTTTACCACTGATTACGGGCGCAGGCGGGGGAATGGGGGTGCTCCAGGGGTATAAGATTCTGTTTGGGGTGATGAACAAGTTTTGGAAATGCTGGTAGTGGCTGCACAACACGGTGGGTGACTTGTTGTCACTGGACTGTACAGTTTAAAATGGCTAAGCTGGCAAATTTTATACATATTCTACCACAATCAAATATTTTAATGTGCATTTACTTAATACATTAAGTTTAGTATGAATTTAATTAAAATTCATTCTTAACTTTAAAAAATTACTGGAACATAAACATGGTTTTGTTAAAGATCATCTTCTCCCGTCTAATCACATTGCTTTTCACATTTCATAGCGTAATAACACAATAATTCTCCCTGAACAGGAATAACTTAGGTGCGGTGTACGGCCCTCTAAGTTTTTATTATGGAGCCCTGAGGGCACAACGGTTCAGCTCTCAGCTGCTAACCGAAAGGTCGGTGGTTCAAACCCACACAGCAGCTCCTTGAGAGAAAGACCTTCCTGACCATCTGCTCCCATAACGATCTCAGTCTAGGGATGGCTATGGGGCAGTTCTCTGTCACATGGGGTCACTGTGAGTCAGCATCGACTCGACGGCACCCACCACCAACAACATCTCCCTAAGGCTCGTCTGTAAAATGGAGGTCTTGAGGGCTGGCTTGTTCCCATGGGCAGAAGCAAACAGGAAACCAGAGAAAAGTGCACTCTTGAACCATCCCTGAGCTCTCGGTGCCCGGTCAGAAGGGTCCACTCCAGGCCTTGCGAACTGCCTGGGCAGGGACCCCAATACAGGTCAAGTCTGGAAGGGCCAAGGGAACCCCCAGAACCCTGAGGTGAGCCCAGAATCCCAGGTGTGGAGGATAGTGGCCCTGGGCCAGCTGGCTCCACTGCAGAGGTGACAAGACCTCAGTAGCGAGGGTCCTGCCTACCAAGCCCCCCTTCTCAGAGACCTGGGGACCCCCAGACCCCTCTCAGAGACCTGCCTTCCTGTCCTCCCCTCTCAGAGACTTGGGGACCCCCGCCCCTTGCTCGGCTCCTGGGGGCTCTGCTCCTTCGAGTTGCACTGCAGGGGTGGCCCCCCCAGTCCACACACACCCAACTCCTCGCCCAACAGGGGACCTTAACACTCATCCCTGTGCCCACTGCTGCTCCCCAGCATGTTCCATCTTAGCTGTGAGCCTGGGCGCCTCCCCTGGGGCCTCCTGCTCAAACAGCCACCTGTTGCCCCTCACCCACACCTGGCCCAGGTCCTGCCCCTAAAGCCTTCAGGTGGATCCTACCTCACCTGAGTCCCCAGCCACCCGGCCCCTGGCCACCCGAGCCCCCAGTCACCCCGAGCAGGCCCTGTGGGCCACTACACCGCTGGAGATGCCCTCCTGATGTCTTGGCCGACTGCCCTTCTGTCCCAGCACAAGTGCCTTTTCTACTGTCCTCTCCTGGCCAAGCAGATCCACTCCTCAGGCCCCTGCTAACCACTCCAGGCAACATTGCTCAGTCTGGGGTCAGAACACCGGGCCAGGACAGGCTGGCGTGAGGGAGAGACAGGAACAGGGCTGGGGCGCTGCAGAGCAGAGAATGGGGGCTTGGGGTGCGGGAGCATGACTAGGCTCAAGGGTGGAGCAGAGGGTGGGATGGAGGAGGGCAAGAAGAGGCAGATCCTGACGTCGACAGGAAATCAACAGCAACAGGCGGGAGACGTGTTGGGTGGGCAGCAATGTGGCCTGCCTTCCCCGTGCACACACCCCACGTGCACACGCATGCATGCACACACCCACATGTGCACGCATGCATGCACACACACCCCACATGCACACGCATGCACGCACACACACCACGTTCAGACACATGCATGCACGCACACACACCCCACATGCACGCACATGCATGCACGCACACAAACCCCACGTGCACACACATGCACACACACACATGCCATGTGCACACGCATGCATGCACACACCACACCCAGACACATGCATGCACGCACACACACCCCACGTGCACACGCATGCACGCACACACACCACGTTCAGACACATGCATGCACGCACACACACCCCACATGCACACACATGCATGCACGCACACACACTCCACATGCACACACATGCATGCACGCACACACACCCCAC